CAATGAGTTATTTAATGCCGGCAAGATTTTTATTGCTAGTAATTGAACTGAGGCATTGAACACAAAAAGCAAATGAACCAAAGATCGATATTTTTCATACCATCGTTGCTGAACAAAGGCAAATCAATTCAGTTTTTGTTTTGTGTGCATATTTGCCTCCCAAACAGTTTTGGCTGACACTAACCACTTTCAAAGACGTTTTGTCGTTATTTACTTATTTTTTAAATATCGCATTCCACGTGTTGGCTTTTTGTTGTAGAGTAGTTTCACAGTGGAGGCTTGTATTTCACTAAGTCGCTCTTAAAATAGGTTCGACGTACAAAACGTTAGGAACTTGATATAATAGGTAATGACGCAGAGAAATCTAGTCTTTGGTTCATTTGCTTTTTGTGTTCAATGCCTCGAGCAATTAGAACAGTTTTCTTTTACCGTATATGTGGTATAGCAACTTTTTTAAGGATTTGTTCTTAACAATAATAAAGATTTCGAGTTGTGGTCTTCCTTTGTTATGGATGATGATGCACGTTTCAATGGCGTTATTGTTAGATAAGTGGCATGTTAAACGACATGACAATGTTGTAGTTGTTAACCCAATGAATGTACTTTGAATTATTATTAGAGAAGCATTCTTCAGTCTGGGATAAACAGAAACAGAAAAAAAATCACGGCAATAAACGAATAAAAATTAAACTGACAATATAAAAAACAACAAATGTCTTTGAAAATGGCTAGTTTTAACCGAAAGTAATTAGACATACAACATTTTATTTTCCAACGCCGGAAACTAAAAAATATATTAGAAATATTAAAAACTAGAGCATGGCCCGGCGTTGCCCGTGCTTGATTAAAAAATCGTACGACTCATACAGCAATCGCTATCATTTGACTTAAAATATTTTTGCCCTTCCTTGCGTTTAAAGGAGTGCCCTTTGCCGTGCTGATGTTGCTACATGCCTTACTTCTTGCCTATCTCACACTGCTAATTTTTTCTAATCTCTATACTAAACATTAAATCTGTTAGGAAAACAGAACTAAACAAAATGAACACAAAACGATCAACATCAAAATGTAACTGGAAAAACCGAATGAAAAAAGAATGTTAACAACAAATACTTTTTCACACCCAACCCAGTTCTGCAGAATCAGAATCAACGTTGAAATTAAGCAAGCGGATGAGCCAATTGGAGTAAAGTGCCATGCAGATTTAAATTTTTCCCACTTGTGGCGAATGCAGCTATCGATTTTTTTTGCATGTTAGTATGCTAGTTAACATTCGTGTCAGTCAGCTGTTGGCTCTCACGCTGGCCAATAGAATCTTCCTGCCTATTCGTGGCAGCCAGCTATAGGCTCTCACTCTGGCCAGTAGAAAATGGCCGCAAACTACATGAAAACTGGCGTAGAAGCAAGAAAAAATCGATTATTTCCACTATCGATGCGAGTTGGGAAATGCAAAGTCGGTCTTGGCCTTTCCGCTAACTTGGAGAATGTGCATGTAAATTTTGGTGCAAATCCGTCGAAAATTGCGACCGTGCACACACACACACACGCACACACACACACACACACACACACACACACACACACACACACATCTTTTATAGATAGAGATTAAATAAAAAAATATCAATAAGTAATTTTCAATGGTTTTTAATCAAACGTGGATTAATAAAAAAAAATCCATTCTCACAAATTCTTATTGTTTACGTATATATATATATATGAAAATCTTCAAGATATTCCATGACGGGAAATATTTTACTTAAAGGTACAAATTTGGCCAAGTTGGTTGAGGCGTGCCGGGCTTAACGGTAACTCCCTCTGTCCTTATCTCAATAAACCTTTCTAAAGTAAACTTTATTTATCTCCCTAAACGTCTTTATGAGAAACTTTATTTATCTCAATAAGGTTATCTATAATAAAATTGATTTACCTCTCTGTGCTTCGCTATAATAAAATTTATTTATTTCCCTCAGTTTTCCTATAATAAACTTTATTTATCTCCCTAGTTTTCCCTATAATAACATTTATTTATCTCGCTAAGCTTTCCTATAATAAACTTTGTTTATTTCCCTAAGCTTCCTTATAATAAAATTTATTTATCTAAGCAATCTTCCCTATAATAAATTTTATTTATCTTCCAAAGATTTCCTATAATAAACTTTATTTATCTCCCTAAGATTCACTATAATAAAAATTTATTTATCTAACTAAACTTGCTAATAATAAACTTGATTTATCTTCCAAAGCTTTCTTATAATTAACTTTATTTATCTCCCTAGTTTTTCCTATAATAAAATTTATTTATTTCTCTAAGCTTTCCTATAATAAAATTTATTTATCTAAGTAATCTTCCCTATAATAAACTTTATTTATCTTCCAAAGATTTCCTATAATGAACTTTATTTATCTCACTAAGCTACCCTATAATAAAATTTAATCATCTAAGTAATCTTCCCTATAATAAACTTTATTTATCTCTTTTAATTTTCATATAAAAACTGTATTTATCTTGCTAAGATTTCCTATGATAGATTTTATTTATTTATTTTATTTATTTATTTTATCTTCCTAAGCTTTCCTGTGATAAACATTATATTTCCCTGTAATTAACTTTATTTATTGTTATAGTGTCCACCCCTTTTTCATATAAGTGGACTCGACCAGTGTGTACTTGGACTGCTGCCGTTAAATACCCAGAGTCAGCCAGAGTCGACAGAGAGAGCAGAGATTGTGATTGAGTTGGAGGTAGAGTAATAGTGTGAGGTAACCGCTTGTAGAAGTCATAGTTACGAACATGTAGACTCTAAGGAAGTCCTACTTCGAGACTGGATTTACCAATCTGTGTATATATATTATTATTGCTACTAACCACGTTTACCAACCGTATTACCAATTGTATTATTGTGTAAATACATTTATTTGTTATATTTCATTCCTGCGTTTGTCATTCATTGGAGACCGAATTTCATCTCGGAATCCACATTTATCTTCCAAAGCTTTCCTATAAAAAAAACTGTATTTATCTCCTAAGGCTTTCCTATAATAAACTTTATTTATCTCCCTAATCTTCCCTATAATGTATTTACCTCCTTACGCTTTCCTATAACATATTTTATTTCTCTCCTTAAACTTTGCTATAATAAACTTTATCTCTCTAAGTTTCTCTGTAATTAAATGTATTTATCACACTACGCGCTACCACAATAAACTTTTTCCATAACAATAAGCTCTATAGACGCTAAGTTACTTATATCACTAAGATTCTTCTACGATAATCTTAATTTATTTAAACTCTAATCCTTACGATACTAATTCTTTGATATCCCAAAGTGTCTTCTAAGTTCATGGCTGTTATCCGGTCACCCAGCAATTTACTAAAGCCGACCTACTCTGGAGACAAAAATGAAAACAATACTCCCACTTGTATTATTGCATAAATCAGCAGACATGTTTGAGTACCGAAAAATGCCTTCCAAAAGCTAAGCAAAGTATTAAGAAACAAATATTTCGTTAGAAAGAAAGAAAAGAATGCAGAACCTTTATGCAATATAAGTCCTCCTATATGCCAGTGAATACTGGACAATCTCCTCAAAGATAAAGAAGAGCCTTGAGGCAGCAGAAATGTGGTTCTACAGAAGGATACTGAGAATTCCATGGACTGAACAAGTGAGCAACGACGAAGCTTTGAGGAACATGGAAACAAATAGACACTTTAAGTATAAGTGCCAG